CTCGAGTGGTCACCCCACGTATAACCGGAAGACAATGACCACTGCTGACCCATACGCACTTCCATGCGTGGGAAGGGTACTGGTTGAAGCAATTTCTGCCCTCGCTGGTTGCTGATGCAAGATGGGTTGCCCTCCCCCAGGCCTTTGCGTGGAACACCTGGATGTCTTTTCCGTTCACCACCTGCAAGTAGAAACGTGCCAAACAAGCGAATTACCATACTACCAAAAACAAATTGGTGCACTCTTGGTGCCGACAAGGAGCCAAATACTCCTTGCCGCCTTCCTCCTTGCACGCCACCTGCTGCACAACCCCAGCGGCGGCTAGCAGCAGCAGACGTACCCAAGCTGAACCTTCTGAAACCCATGCAGCAGTCCACAGCCGCACGGCAGCGTGCTAGACTCTAACCATGATCTAATGCCAGGCGGCTGTTCCATTGAACATCTTGTGAACGCTGTCGTACTTGAGCTGATAGACCTCGGCAGCTCCGAAGTACCAACTACAGCTGCACAGCTGGGCACATCTTCCTTGCGACAAGGGGCCATGTATTTCAAGTCCATGAAGGGATCATTGATGGCCTGCGTGCCGTGCCCCAACCCTAGAATCCGCTCAGCAGCTGAAGAAAAGGCCCATCACGTCTCATGAGATCTTTCAGCCCTTTATGTCAACCAGAGGAAAGGCGACAGCCAACCTTGAGCTCAACGTCCGGGTTTGCCATGGCAGCGCGGAACACCAAGCGCCCAATGCGGCCAAAGCCATTGATTCCGAGACCTGAAGTAGAATGGCAAGCTCTCCATTTCAGGCTTCTAATGTGAACTCCAGACCTCGTGAGGATTCTGGGGATCACACCGACAGGCATCTTTCGGAGAGAGAGTCGAAAGGTATCAAGGCTGCGCAAAAACAACCACGGATCCTGTACGCGTCTGTAAGCCACGCGGCCATACGAGTGAGAACTGACATGCGCTCAACCAAGAAGTCCAGCTGAATACCAGAAGGGATCCTGGCCATGGAAACTGAGAATTCGACGAGCACGAAATGATTGTAGTCACGCTTCGAAGTAGAGACTGTTCGCTCGTTCAATCCCAGGGATTGATTGGACTGGGATGGTGTTGGGGTCTTAGCATCTGGCATCACCCTACCTATCTGAGGCTCGAGAGTGTTTTGGTCAGTCCAGCACTGCTGCCCTGCTGGCAGGCTTGGGGGATGTGCTTGCGCAGTTGGATTTGATTTCTCCTATTCTAATAATTCTAGGATACAGTACGAAAGAGCGTGCGCACCCCCCAGCATCTGCCATAAGCGATCATGCGTGAAAATCGCCCTCCTCGTCAATTGTAGGAGGGGCGAATGATTCAAGCGGTGCAAACATTTCTCTCAGGTACATGGCCCGCGCACTTCCTGTCAGGTCAGCAACTGTTCATGTTTGCAATGCTGGCTGCAACCTCAAGGCCTTTTCAGCAGCCTTCTTGATAGATCCCACATGCCAGCTAGTGTTGGAACCTTCTGTGCTGAGGTGTTTCAAAGAAATTTGCAGCCAGCAAAGCAAACATCACAAGTGGTTGTTCGGGTGCCCACATTCTGCATGTCATTTGGCTTCTAGGAGCCTGTACAGTACTAGCCTGCTGCTGCTGCTGCTGCTGCTGCTGCTGCTGCTGCTGCTGCTGCTGCTCTCGGTACCAGGGTTACCATGGTTGCCAGCAGGACCCTGCGGCAGCAAAACCAGTGACAGTCATAACTGTGGTTGCTTAGTTTTCAGGGCCTACGCGAACCATGCCTGAAAACAGTATGAACACAACAAGCTGTTCACATGACGTGGGTCGACCGCCTTCTGGATTGAGGCACACATGCATTCGCTACAGCTCTGAAATTTCTCCGCGCAGCGTATCAAAAAGAGACACCGCACAATGAAATTTGGATCGTTCTTAGATTGCAAATTCAAAAGACTCACGTGCCTAGCCGTCCACCTTGGCCATGTGCACGGCCAGCTCCACAAGGCGGTTGGAATATCCCCACTCGTTGTCATACCTAGGCAGAGCGATCATGGGTCTCACCACGAAAGAAGACCACACCCACTCTGCGAACTCGAAATGGGATTGTGCTTGGATTTCTCTTCTGAACCAGGGCCTTCAAAGCACTTGTTCAAGCGCCTTCCGCGGGAGTGTCCTTGCCGAGCGACCAGCTCACAAGCTTCACGAAATTGTCGTTGAGCGAGATTCCGGCCTTTGATGCATGATTATCATTAATTATGCATGTGCCTTCCAAACGGCACAGGCCCTGGGCCCCACATGCCCCAAAGTCCAGGCCGGGTAGCAGCCACGTCGAAGACAGAGGAAGCCTTGCAGGTCACGAAGTCCGTGGACACGACTTCCTGAACATTCAGGCGCATGTGGAGAGGCATGTTCTGTCACGTCCGCAGTCCCCACCTCGTCCGTCCAGTCGAGGACGCCCTTCATGGGGCCGTTGGCTGCATCCTTGATCGCCGCAACGATCTCCTCACAAGGGGGCCGGGATGGGAAACGGGTCCGAACAGGTCCGAATGGTTGCCTAACTGTGCCTAAGCCATCCTCGTATTTGGCTGGCTTCTCCAGGCGGACGGTCAGATCCACCACCGACACGTTCGGGGTTGGCACTCGGAAGGCCATGCCTTACGGACCGTCAGGGACATTCAGGGACAAGGCATGCAAGTGTGCCACACGGGTGGC